TGACAAAGGCAGAAATTCTTAGCTAGGCTTCAGGCAGCATACATTTATTAGCTCTCCCATTTAACACATTACTGTAAAAGCCAAGTCTCGGTGGCCTTGGGCACTGTTCTGACGCAACAGGTCCTCATGGTGCATCTGAATAAGAGAACCCGTGGGTCTTGTCTTTGTCCCTCCCCATCAACGCCCTGTCACCTGTTCTCTTGCTTCTTTCTTCCTGGGCCCACAGGGAGCTTCCACCCTTGGCTCCCACTCTGCCTATGCCTTCCGAGAGGTCACAGAAGCCAACCCAAACTTTTAGACCCATTCCTAAATGTTCCCATGATTATCTTAGTCTTGAGTCTTGAGTTGTAAACCTTCACTACGTCACTAACACATGGTGACATTGTCCCATGTGAACTGCGAGTGGCCATTCAAACATAGTTACTTCGATGGCGGAACTATCCTGAATTGAAAGACAATAGAGTCAGATTTATTCCTCTCTGTAGAAGAACATGTTTTTAAAAATGTATACCATGGCCCCTTTCTTAGTATTTCTGCCGTTTCCTTTGTTAAGTCCAAAGGGTATGAAATAGAAGGAAGAGACTAACACAGGGCACAAGTCCAGATAGATCTAATTGAGATAAATTCTACTAAACCAACAACAACAACAACAAAATCAAGTTTTATATAGTTACATTTAGATGTGGTACTTTTTCATTGAAAAAAATTGAGAAAATATAAATGGCAATATTTAGTAGAACTCCTGAATGCATAAAAAGGAATAAAAAAAAAAAAAAAAAAAAACACACATTAACAAGGACTTCCCTGGTTGTCCAGTGGTTAAGACTTCACCTTTTAATGCAGGGAGTATGCTTCAATCCCTGGTAGGGGAGCTGAGATCCCACAGGCCTCATGCTTCCTGGCCAGAAAAGTCAAAAAAAAAAAAAACAATATTGTAACAAGTTCAATAAAGACTTGAAAAATGGTTTACATTTTAAAAAATCTTTGAAAAACACAGATTAACAATGGATAATAACACTTTACATTTTTACATAATACTCTGCATTTTTTCAAGGTTTTTTTTACAACTAACAAAAGACTGAATCTTAGGTTACTTGTGAAAAGAGAGCAGGGGGGATATTTTTATCCCATGTTATGGATAAAGAAACAGTTTCAGGGTCCAAAGTTGTACCATAAATTAAATAAGAATTTCTTCATGTGGATATTAGGGTTATGAAAAAAATGCTCCACCAAGTCTAGAGGGTTGTTGTTTTCTTAGATGAGTTCTTTTTGAATTCAATCTGAAAAAATAAACGAGGGTAAAGCAAGTTAGTGGAAGAAGAGAAAAAGCATATCTGTGTTCCCTTGAAGTGAATTAAATGTAATTGTAGTTATCAGAATCTGAATATGTAAAACCTGAAATTAGCCAATACTAGAAACTCACACTTCCATCTGAATTTATGACTTAAACAATGAAACTTTTTCTGTACTGTAAGAATAACATATTAACTTTTCCTTTTCAAACATAGAATGATAGACTGATGTTCATTATAGATTTTTAAGGAAAAAGATTATGAAATATAATGATTCTATTTCTGTTAAAAACACATATATCTACTTAAATGTAATGTTTAACAATAGAAGAAAATCTGAAATAGCAGCATGAACATTTTTCTTCAGCTTTCTTGAAATAAAATTGACAAATAACATTATAAGATATTTAAAGTGGACATTTAGATGATTTGATATACAAGTGCCTTGTGAGAACAGCACAGACAAATTTAATAGCAGTTATCTTGGAGTGGTTGGATGGTGGGTTTTTATTTTTCTCAGATATTTACCTTTGTGTTTGTGTGTGTGGACATTTATGCTCTTTTGTTCTGGCAAGTTTCGATTATACAGTACTGTGTCATCAGCTATAGTCACCGTATTATACATTAGATCTTCAGACTTTATCTTACAACTGAAAGTTTGCATCCTTTATACCAACCTCTCTCTATTTCACCCAACTCCCCTCCCTTTGAGTCCCTGGAAACTCTTTCCTCAGCCAGTTCAGTTCAGTTGCTCTGGCGTGTCCGACTCTTTGCGACCCCCTGAATCACAGCACACCAGGCCTCCCTGTCCATCACCAACTCCCGGAGTTTACTCAAACTCATGTCCATCGAGTCGGTGATGCCATCCAGCCATCTCATCCTCTGTCGTCCCCTTCTCCTCCTGCCCCCAATCCCTCCCAGCATCAGGGTCTTTTCCAATGAGTCAACTCTTCACNGTGATGTATTTATTTTATAATTGGAAGGAATCTTTTGACTCCCTTCACCCATTTGACCACCCTTCTTTACCTCTGGTAACCACTAACCTATTACAGGGTTTTTGTGTATGTTTGTGTGTGTGTGTGTGTTTTTTTCAAAGATTCCACATAAAAGTGAGATCATACAATATTTGTCTTTCTCTGATTTATTTCACCAAGTATAATGCCCTTCAGGTCCCCTCATGTTGTCACAAATGGCAAGATTTCCCTCATTTTTGTGACTGGATAATATTGCATTATATATATATATATATATATATATATATCACATTTTCTTGATCCAGTCATTAAAATAATTTTCTAACCTCATGTATTTCACCAACCCAAATAGAATTCTTCCTTCACCTGATCATTTCATTCCTGGGGCGAATTCATGTAGAGCTAGCAGTATGATTTTAGGGCTAAAGTCCCAACAACTTCAAAGCCATGCAGAGTTACACCAGAAGAAAAGCATTTTCCACTTCCTTGATCACTGGAAAGCCCCTTCTAGGTATTCTGCTATGCAGACCTCCTTTTCCCATGCAATACATTGCTGAGATCTAGTCCTGCCAAACAGAAGTATCAATGGAACATTGGAGGAAAAGGGGGAGTAATATTGCACCCAGAACTCTGAACTCTTCCTCAAATTCAAAACACAGCCTCACACTTTCTAGTTTTTTGGCTTCAGGTAAGTATTTCAACATTTCTGTGCTTTAACTTACAGAATTGCAATGCCTACTTCCTAGGGTTTAATGAAGAGTCCATGAAATAATATAGACTAAGCATAAATAAATGTTCAAATTCCTTATCAGGCTCAGGTCTGCTGATCTGATTGTCAGCATAGGACAATGACAGGTCTGAGGAGAACAGACAAAGATGTTGCATTAATGATTTAAAGGATTGACTTAGTGGTAAATAAAGATGCTCAGTTATCTTCAAGTATCATTTTTGTACCATGAATGATCTATTTTGCAGCTCTAAGCTGAAAGCAGATGGTGGTAGCAAAATTGTTTGTAAGAAAAACATTTTCTAGGAACAGATCCCACCCCTCACCTCAAAGATTTTAGTTTATGTCTCATTGCACAGAAATAGACTATGCAGCCACCCATAACTGTGAGAGAATCCAGAAAACAAAAATTTGGTAAAAGAAAATTAACTGTATGATTCTTTCTCTGAAACTGGGTATAGTTGTCTGAACAAAGTAAAGATGTCTTGAGCATGGGCAGAAGGGGTAGGTGGGGAACCTTGGGTATATAGTGTCTGACACAGAAATATTTAATTAAACTTGGAATCTCTGCCCACCATGGCTGGCACATTGACCCTGGGAGCTTGATAGTCAGTGGTGGGCATGGCTGGAGAATGTCTCCTGATTAGCACTGTGGCATATTTTGCCCTGCCTTCTTGGAAAAGATATTGCAAGTGACCAGCATGTGTAGCTGGTCATAAATTCTGGCTAAGATTTACTTCTAAGTGGCATGGAGAAGTCCCTACAGTGGAATAAATCCTTTTAATAATAATGCCGCAAAGGCCATGATCAGCTCATCCCTGAGGGTTTTACAAAAACTTTGTTTTTTATTTGCTTAGTTAGATTTTACAGTGAAGACTAAACTTTCTTAATTGATTTTATTACTTGTTTCAACAAAATCTCATTTTGCAATGGTTTGCACATTACTGCACAGATTCAGAGCCAGAAATCATCCCTGATTTAGATTTATGGGAAGAGTTTGCATATTTTCCAAACATGGATTTTCTTATAGTTCTAACAAAGTACATGTATTTTGTGTACAACCAAATTGTATATCTATTTTGCAATGCTTTTATTTAAATTATAGTGATTTATGGGCACTGTGGTTTGGCTGCCCATGCAGCATTTTATCAGGTCTCTTCTGAAACCCTAAGGTTTCAATTGAGCAGGGTCACACTGCGTAAGCTTGTTGATCAGTACCTTTTGTCTTTGACATTATCTCTCCAGAGCAAAGTGGGGCATGGTTCTATTTAGGTTTTGTTTGCTTTTATTATTTCCTTCAACTCTCTGGCTGGTTATTGCATTCCTGTATCATTTTGAAATTTATAGTCTATTTAATAGCATTTTTATTTTTTATGATTATGTCAGTCTTACCCATAAGAGGGTCTTAGGGAATATGTTTTGAGTTTCTTTCAATAGCAACCACATCCCAGAAACTACCTAACTGAATTATGAGTTTTATTTTTTTTTACCAGAGGGAGCTATGAAACAGAAATTATTTTAGATGTAGATTATAATAATAATTTGGAGGCATCTTTATGATCTGTGAGTTTCATATCACTATCATGCCTTGCATTCCTTTTGATTATTCCTCTTCTAACAGAGCACTGCAAAACTTCTGTATGTATCCAATAGCAAGCTCTACATCAGGGGAAGATGCAAGGGTATGTTTAATAGTGAATTGTTCACCAAAATGTCAAGAACAGTTTGTTCAAATTATCTCAAAGGGCAGCCCAAATTGGTGCTTCTCCCTCAAAGATTATGTGTATACAAGGGCTAAAACATTAAACTATCATTACTGGGGAAGAAAGAGATAATTTATGGGGAGGATGGAGGGATGTTTCAGGGAATCCAGTAACACAAATTCGTCTGAGGCAGGACTAGGGTAACAGGCGAGAAAGTTAGTCTGGGAATAGGTGGCCCCGTGCTTGTCCCTCTCAGTTGCAGACACGTGATAAGGATCACCGTCACAGAGGGAGACACACAGGATAGTGAAGTAAGAGGATGTTTGTTGTTAGAGGGAACATGATAGAGTATGTACCATGTCTCAGGCCCCCTTCCAAAGGTCTTGCATATGTTGACTCACTGAATCATCACAATGAGCCTATGAAAGAGGAAACAACAGTAGCAGTTGTTTAACAATGGTAGTAGCCAAGTAAGTTCACATAACTGATAAATAGCACAACGCAGGGTCCTGATTGGACCCCAGCAACCTGGCCTCAGACAGTTCTGTCTGTTCTTCCTCCCTTTCTGTTGACTGTCTTCTGCTTTTCGGCTTCAGCCTCTACCAGACTATCCCAGCACCAATACTGCCCATCTTCCTACCTCAAATATCTGACAGAGATTGGCTAGATTCTCTGGGTTTTAATTCCAAGTTGCTGGGAGACAGGTCTGTTTGGTCAGTCTGGGTGAAAAGTTCACATGGATGTGGAGAGGGGTGTGGGTCATGTGGTTCAGACCTGGGCTGCCTGTTTTCACAGCAAGTGCGCGAATGTGGCTGGAGCAGTCACTCACAAGAGCTGCCAATTATCAGTTGTTTATAACTTGTAATAAAAACAGCCACATCTGGGGAGCTCAATTCACTTGATCTCTGGTGCTTCTCCATACATCTTCAATTATGAACTTTAAATCAGCTTAATTTCTATTTCTTCAAAAACAATTTCTGAAAGATAAATTAATGGTGATATATATGCTCATTAGGGTTCCATTCTGTCTTTTTTGTATCTCTTGCCCTCCAGATTAGAGTTCGTTTAGACACCAGATAAATACAATGAAGATCTAGCACTCTGAAGTTTCCCTAAAGATAATAGCTAAAATTAATTACCTTCTTTAATCCTCACAACAAAGCTATGAGACAGAATCAATACTAGTCTCCTTTTCACAATGAAGAAACTGAAGAAAAAGATTTAAATGAATGCCCCAGGTCACAAAGAAAGTGATGGAATCTGAGTCTAAACCCAATTCTGAAAGCAGGGCCTGAACTTTTTTAATATTTATTTTTATTTATTTATTTGGCTGCTCCGGGACTTAGTTACGGAATGTGAGATCTTTAGTTGTGGCATGCGGAATCTGTTTTTTTTAGTTGCAGCCTGTGAGCTCTTTAGCTGCTGCTGCTGCTGCTAAGTCACTTCAGTTGTGTCTGACTCTGTGCAACCCCATAGAAGGCAGTCCACCAGGCTCCTCTGTCCCTGGGGATTCTCCAGGCAAGAATACTGGAGTGGTTGCCATTTCCTTCTCCTATGCATGAAAGCGAAAAGTGAAAGTGGCATTGCTCAGCCGTGTCCGACTCTCAGGGACCCCGTGGACTGTAGCCTACCAGGCTCCTCCATCCATGAGATTTCCCAGGCAAGAGTACTGGAGTGGGTTGCCACTTCCTTCTCCCTCCTTAGTTGCAGCATGTGATATCTAGTTCCCTCACCAGGAATGAAACCCCAGGCCCCCTGCCTTGAGAATGTTGAGTCTTAGCCACTGGACTATCAGAGAAGTCTCTGAACTTTAAATAGTTACAATACATTCATGCAAGAACTTGTTTTCACTCATTTCAGCCAGCATTTGTCCTCATCTCAAAATACTGTGGCAAACCTCAGTCATAAAAGTGGTTAATAGAGCCAGTTTTCCCTACTAGTGTCTGTGTCTGTCAGCTCTTAGATGCACTCTCTGAAAATCTTCCCAATTTTTTGTACATCTGGCAGCAGCTGACCCATTGTGTACCTTAGGGCTGAGATGACGGGCTGAATTCAGGTCACCAAGATTGGAATTCTAAGGGCCTGTCTTAAAGATTGTATAAATTTGGGCAAAGCACCAAACCACTCTAAACTTTCATCTGTGAAACTCGAGTAATGATGCCTACCTTTTCATTTTTGTGAGGAATAAGTGAACGATTGATTATTTGGCTGCTCATATGAGAGGATGCTGAGAGCTTAGTCTCTACTGCCTCCCTTAGGTACCTTTTCTCCATCTGCCAGTATTTAACACTATTGTCCTCACTGGCCCTAGCACATTTTAGCACTAGAAACCAGCTTAGAAGTGAAAGTGAAAGTGTTAGTCACACAGTCATTTCTAATTCTTTGCGACCCCATGGACTATATCCCGCCAGACTCCTCTGTCTGTGAAATTCTGCAGGTAAGAATACTGGAGTGGGTAACCATTCCCTTCCCCAGGGAATCTTCCCAATCCAGGAATTGAAGCCGAGTCTCCTGCATTGCAGGTGGACTCTGTACATCTGAGATACCAGGGAAGTCCAAGAAACCAGCTTAGGACTTCTACTTTAATTGTGTGGCTCTATAGTCTTCTCTTCAGTGTATCCTCTGCTGCTATATGGTAGCTTCTGTCATAAGTGAGTAAAACTCAGGAACCCACACATCTTCCTAAATCCTCTACACAGGAAGGTTGGAGAGGCAATACTGCAATATTTAAACTGGTGCTTGGATTTGCAAAAAGCCAAATAAAGCAGCTTCTATTGGAAAAACTTCCAAGGAGAACCAGACAGGATGGAGAGATGTTGAGTCATCTTTGGCTTCTTTGAGAGCACTATGAAATATAATCAGCCATCAGTGAATTACCCTGGGTGGAATATTTATGAAATGTTCCATTCAATGTCCTAAAGTCATATTTTATGATCAACAGAACCTGTGAAGTTTTAAATCTGCATTAATAATAATATAGACCTAATTTCTGATACTCTTCAGTTTTTATAGACTACTTTTATATAACCTTTTCTGTTGGCCCTTACAAAAATGAATGAAGTATTTGTTATAATCCCTGTTTTATAGATGGAAGAATTGGTTTCCAGAAAGATTAATGGCTTCTCACTTCATTTTCAAACCAAAGGCTCTTATACCTTGCAGCATACGGCTTAGCTGCATCAAATTTGGAATCAAAAGAACTGGTTTTCATCTCAGTTTTATGGGTAGAAAAAATAAAGATAATAATACCTCTTTCATAAATTGCTAATGTGTTTGGATTCCCAGGTGGTGCAGTGGTAAAGATTCTTCCTGCCGATGCAGGAGACCCAGGTTCAATCCCTGGGTCAGGAAGATCCCCTGGAGTAGGAAATGGCAACCCACTCCAGTATTCCTGTCGGGAAAATTCCGTGGACAGAGGAACCTGATGGGCTATAGTCCATGGGCCTACAGAGTGTCGGACTCGACTGAGTACACACAGAGAAAATAATTGGCTGAAAGTACCAGAAAGTGAATTTATAGAGATGTAACTGAGTTGGGGATTATAGATCACACACACACACACACACACACACACACACAATACAGACTTTGTCAACTGCCAGCATTGGCTTCCCTCTTTGATAATGCATTAATAGCCTATCTATCATTCCCTTGACTTTCCCCTGGATTTGCCACCTCTTCCGGAGCTTCAGGCATGTGCTTGTATCTCGGGTAGAAATAAGGGTGAAAGTTTCAGTCTCTCTGTTTCCTTTCATAGACAAGGCCAAGCCTTCACTTCCTGTGCGGTCTATGGACTTTGTTATCTGTCACAATGTAAGCTGTTACGTGGCTGCCTGTTGCAAGGGGCTGTGGGAAAGAGAATATTGAGCCTGGGGCTACTAATGTTGCTGCTCAAATAAAACTGGGTCATTCTTAGTTTAAAAAAAAAATGGTGGGGTTAGATTTTAGCAAGGCCAGCAAGTATATCTATCTAACATGGCTTTTAGAGATATTTTATTCAGTGTAAATTTTGTGTAATAGAATGTGCTTAATCACAGTCGTGTCCAAATCTTATAGCCTGCCAAGTTCCTCTGTCCATGGGATTGTCTAGGCAAGAATACTGGAGTGGGTTGCCATTTCCTTCTCCAGGGGATCTTTCCCGACCTAGGAATCAAACTCAGGTCTCCTGCATTGCAGGCAGACTCTTTATCAACTGAGCTTTGAGGGAAGCCCCTGTAATAGAATAGGTATGTAAAAATTGTTGGGATTTCCTTTGCAGTCCAGTAGTTAGGACACCTATGCTTCCAGGGCAGGGGGTGTGAGTTTGATCCCTGATCAGGGAACTAAGATTCCACATGCATGGTCAAACTATTTTTTAAAATTTTTAATTGTATCATGTATAATATCTTTAATATTAATATTGATAATATGATGACAGCATTATTTTCCTTTTCGACATAAGGCACCTTTGAAAAAAATAGTGATAACTATCAAATTTGAAAATGCTACCTTATACTTTTGTTGTGTCCAATTCTTAATATCTTTTAACTTGTTTTAATCTTATAACATACTTCTAAATAGGGCTGAAAAGTATCATTATTATATTTTACAAGCAGGAAAACTGATCTCCATAGAATTGAAGGCAATTACTTACATTAGTGTCAGAACATGTAGTTTGACTTCAAATCTTGCAGTATGATTTGAATGTCATGTATTAGTACTCAATGGTTTATATAGTTAAAAGTTAGCACTAGATTATATTCCCTTGTAATAGGAACCTTTGCAACTTAAAAATATGTTCATATTTGATATTAAAAAAGCAGGAAGTAGACATGGCCAGTGAGACCCTAAAGTAAAAAGGAGGAAACTGAGTATTTATATGATTTGCCCAGTCACTTAATTTGTAAACAAAAGAGCCGGGGCAGAGCTCTAGTCTTCCCAGTTTTAGCCCAGTCATCATTTCACTGATCCTTATTGCCATCCAGAAATAGGCTTCTTCATCTTTACCTCTCATGAGAACAGTGTTTTATAAAAACACTGTTTTTATAAAGAATAACTTTGAACCCTTTTAAGTCAAAGCTTGCAAAATTGGAGATCCATAACATACAAGTTTTGTTTGACCCCTGTACCACAAGCCCATGCAATGTTGGAAAAATATAAATAATTGACAATATTTAAACATTAGATGTTAAATAAAACCCTACATCTCCAGTTTTTCTTCTAAACAAACAAATTAATTAATAATCTTCTATCCATCCATACCTGGACTGCATTCCTATATGGAATTAAGGATCTGGACTAAAGATCAAGCAGGAATTCTTCAGTTTCCTACAATCCTCTTAATTCCCTGTAGGGTCCTTAACAAAGAGGGAAGATTGTTCCGTTAGCTCGGGATTTGCGTGCCTTCGGGTCAGTTTGTGCCTGTCCCTTTCCTGATTAGCTTACAAAAAATCATTTCCTGATACAATTAGTCCTGCATATTACAAGTTCCATTTTCAGAGTACGATGGTAAGTCCAATTTGTTCCTAAGTCCAACAATGTTAGCCTAGGTACCTAACTGACAGAATCAGCTACATAGTACTGAACTTTAATAAGCTTATAATACTTTTCACACAAATAATGCATAATAAAGATAAACATGAAAAAATAAGGAAAACATTTTTACTCTTATAGTGCAGTACCTGGAGAAGAACAGTAGTACCAGTTACATCACCGTGGCTTTTGAGCTTGCTTCTGGACATCCTGAGCTTGAAACAAAGATACTGTATTCAATACAGTACTGTGCAGTAAAGTACACAAAAGCACAACTTTTTGTAGAGAAGTAGGCATGTGACAATGTACTCTAGACATGTGAACTAATTTATGTGACTAGACATGTTCTCAATCTTTGAAAGTTTGAGTCTTGAAGGCTCATATGTAGGGGACTTACGGTACTAGACACTGCAGCAGATGATATATCACATTTTTCTTTGAGAACTTTGTAGATCCAAAATAGCAAAAGGAAAATCTGGTTGGCTGTTTTCAAGTTAGGTTGAAAAAAGTCCTTACCTTCAGCCTTCTTGGCAGTGATCAGTGTTTGCTAACCGTGTTCAGTCACTCTTGCATATGGATGTGATGCTAGTGGCCTAGTCTGGGAAGGAAGAGTGAGTGAAAAGAGGGAGTGAAAAACAAGAGGAAGCATGCAGGTTGTTGTATGAAACACAGCCTAATTAATCAGAGGCTCATCTCCCATCAGGGCCTAGATTAAGGCCATTCGAGGACCACCATATCATGGAAACTCCATACCCACCCCATCATTAAGTTAATAGTAAAGTAATCCTCCTTCAAGGAGTGGCCTTATCACTTGTTTTCCCCCACATAAATATAATTAAATAGGAAAGGTGGTGATGGCAGTTGAACATCTGTCTTTAGCTTTCAGATTTTTCACAGTCTGTTGATTAGGTTATGTTTTGTATTATTCCAATGTCCACAGCTGTCAAGTGAAATGGGAGCGGTCCTGCCCGAGTCTGGGAGCTGAGGTCTGCAGCGACTCTTCACGTTCCACGTGGTAATAGCCGGTGACAGCGTCTACTCTCAACAAATTGTTTTCTGCGAGTTGATGGGTCTCAGCTGTTCTAACCTGGGAAGTGATGAGTTTTGCTTTCATTTGGAAAGTAAGATCTGTTCAAATAGAGTGGCTGGCTTCATCGGGTGTGAGTGTTTGTTTGATTTTTGTGTTTGTTTTTGTAGCTTTGTGTGTATGCACATACAGTGGTACTTGGGTCTGTATTTGACAGCAGGTTCTAAACTTACCAGAGCATACTGTCTGGAATCTTCTAAGGCCTGTGCTGATGTACCGGGCACAGAGATCAACCCATGGGCAGAGGCGCATTTCAGACAGTCTCACATGTACTCGGCTGTCCGAGATTGATTTCGCATCTTGACTCAAGAGCCTTTGTTCTCAGGCTGATATCTTTGCCTCATGAGTGGGGTTAGCTCACACCAATATCCTTGGGTAATGCCTAACAGTGGAGTGCTAATTAAAATGGCAGGATCTGGAAACACAGGAGGGTCTTCTTTCAGAGGTGTTGAATCTACAGACAATTTTCTAAGCTATAAATGTGCACGTAGCACAGAAATTGAATATGTTTAAGATGGACAAGTCTTGACGATTCCCCCAGCACCTTCATATTCCCTTTCCCTGTTCTCCATATACAAACATAGTTTTAGAAAAGGATCTAAACATACTTTAACTCAAAGGTATAAATAATGAATGATTGCCTGGTTACCTAAACATTAGCAGGACAAAAGTAAAGATACCTGTTGGTGTCCAATACAACTTTCTATGATGACACAAATGTCCCAGATGCAACGTGGCTGGTATGACCAAGGTACTAATTTTTATTAATTTTTATCTCATTGCCTTAATTTTAAATAGTTCTGTGTGGCTAGTACCTATCGTATTGGAAGAAATGAATGGCTAACACTGAGCATTAAAGTTCTCAACTATTTCAAATGAAGGGTATATTTTTGAGGAGAACTTAATTATCTTTGCATTACTGAAATGGCACTCCTGCCACCTGAAAAAGTAGAACTGACCATTTCTAGTGTCCAACACAGGAGCATTAAATTCTAGGCAGCAAAAAGATATTAAAGAACAAATGTAAGAGTAAAGTGAAGTGAAGTGAAAGTTGCTCAGTCGTGTCCGATTCTTTGTGACCCTCTGGACTATAGAGTCCATGGAACTCTCCAGGCCAGAATACTGTAGTGGGTAGCCCTTCCCTCCTTCAGGGGATCTTCCCAACTCAGGGATCGAACCCATGTCTCCCACATTGCAGGCAGATTCTTTACCAGCTGAGTCACAAGGGAAGCCCAGAATATAGGAATGAATGCATAGAAATGATAACAAATGATACACCTAACAGGATCAACTAACATTTGTTTGAATCAGGCACTGTCAGAATCATGATGCTTACATCATCTGTGAAACAATTCTGTGAGAAACACACCATTGCCATCCTTGTTGTGCAGATAAGGACACTTTAGTGTAGAAAAGACTGAAAAGCTAGTGAATAACAGAGTTTTGATTTCAACTCAGTTCTGTCTCTGAAGCCACTTTCATCATTGCAGATACTATTTTGACTATGAGCTTTAAAGCACAGCTTACTTTAGGGGCAATTAATGAAGCCTGTATCTGAAAGAAGTGCCTTCGATCTCCAGGGCCCCTTTATTTTCCTCACTTGATGATGATATTCAATATAAAATAATGTCTAGATGCAGCTAGCATAGAGTAAATACTCCATAAAAAGCAGCTGCATTTTTCACTATCATCATAATTATATGGCATTTCCATAAACTCTAATTGCATATGTGATATCAATCACAAGGGTCACTGAGTCATGGAGGGATCTCATAAGTGATTCTGCCCTTAATGTCATCAGTGACAAAAGTATCACAAAATTATAGTTCTGAAGATTTAGGGCCCCAAAGAGAGTAGCTGCAAACATTTTATTCTAGAGATAAGCGCTATTACTGGAGGTGACTCTCTTCTCCCCTCAAAATCAGCAATACTATTTATGAATATCACAGAATATTGGACTTAAAAAAGATCTTGCACCTCACTGTCTAAGTAGCTATTGCATGGTGAAGTTAGGTGAGGCGAGTGTATCTGTAAATTACATTGAATTATTAATTGGAGAATGGATTGGATCTATTGTCATTTCCACTGAGTATAGTCATAACTTTCTTCCATTCATTCTCCCAGAAATGTGTTTCCTGGTGTTCATACCCATGGGACCTGTCAGACGCTGTGCCAAGCACTGAGA